GGCAAAGGGGGCTGTGCAGATCCTGTGACAGATCTGGAAATGGAAATTGCCCTGTAATGTCTGCGTGTAATCACCAAAGTGCTTTTGAAAAGAAGGCAGCGATGTGCGTACACAGAAGATAGCAATTAGGGAAGTAGATGTGGAGTGGGGTAGGACCATGAGCCAAGAACTGGAAAAGGCAAGGAAAGATTCTCCCCCTCAGCCCTCCAGCAGGAAGGCAACCCTCCCAACTCATCATCAACGCATCTTTTGGATGCGCAACCTCCATAACTGAGTTAACTTTGTGTCCTCATAAGTCACTTAACTTGTGATGATTTGTTAGACCAACAATAGGAAGCATTCGAATACGAGGGTACAACCCATCCCATTAACTAACCTTTCTATGATCTTTACTCACTTCAAGACAAATCTCACATCGAAAAACCACCGAGCACAATAAATAAAGGAATATCTGAAGCATCTGTTCTTGACCTTTCAGGATATTGGAAAAGAAGAAAGAAATATGATACATACAGAACATCTCATTGTGTTTCTCAGCAACCACCATGGAAGCTTAAAGGCAATGAAGCATTGCCTTCAAATTCTGAGAGCAAGTAATTTACAACCTAGACTTCTAGCCCTGGTCAAATCTACAATCAAGGGAGGGTAGAAGGAAGTCATTTTCCTACATGGAAGATGGCAAAAATTTCTCCTTCCAAGCACACATTTTTAGGAGACGTCTAGGAAGGATGTGTTTCCCAAAAATGGGGCAGAAAATAATAAAAGATGATGCTACCCACAGAAAAAGGGGTAAAATATAGAAATCAACATACTTTTTAAACTGCCCTAAATGTGTATTGTATTATAATGAATACCAAAGACAACTTTAACTTCAAAATAATCATTTTATATATTTTTTTTATTCTGATACATAGGCAATAAAAACTTGATGTCTATATGTTTATCATGTTGTTCATCCATCATTAACCTTTTCATCACCTTAACAGAAGCTTAATGTTCCCTAAACCTGTATCTCCCTTTCTGCTTCCCTCCCACCCACCTTCCACAACCACTATTAAACTTTGATCGCTACACATTTGCCTGTTCTAGAATATTCCATATACGTGAGATCACATAAGATGCATATTTTATTTTGTTTGTCCTGCCCTGTGCCATCCTCACAATTGGTCTTATGTTTGAGATCATCAATGTAGCCACTGTGTCAAGTCATCTTGCTGAAGGTCCTCCCCTTTTCCTCTGCCAAACTACTTTATCGAGCTTGATAACCTTCTCCAGGGACTGGTTTCTCCAGACAATATGCCCAAAGTAGGTGAGATGAAGTCTCACTATCCTTGCCTCTAAGAAGCATTCTGGCTGTACATCTTCCAAGACAGATTTGTTAGAATGATGGTGCTGGTGAATAATAATGAGAGTATCCAAAACAGTGCATTTAGGCCCTAAAGTAGTAATAATTCATTTAAAAACAATTGCAGTTAAGTCAAAGGCAACTAACTAATGGCAACTCCATGTATTACCAAGTAGAACTGTGCTTTGTTGAGTTTTCACAACTCTAAACTTTCAAAAGCAGATCATCAGATCTTGCTTAAGAGTTTCCTCTGGTGAATTCCAATTGTCTAGTTTTTGGTTAGTAGTGTTTTCGGTATAAACCACTCAGATCTTGCATGAAGCTTCAGAAGGATTTATTTAGCATTACCGAGACATATGGATGGAAAACCACCAGTTTACATAGCTGGAAACAGCAATTTCAGAGGCTGAGTCCTGAGTGGGAGTAGTTAAAGAAGAAGGAACAAAGATATTACAATAAAATAATGGATTGGTTTCGTTTTGGTCACAAAACCAAAAACTCACTGCGATTGAGTCAATTTTGACTCACAGCAACTTCATAAAGAGAGTGCTAAAAAGTGGGGGAA